TTGTCTGGTTCCAGATCTTATTGGGAATGATTCCAGCTTTTCCCATTCAATAGGATGCTGGTCATGTGTTTGCCTTGATTGTGTTGAGGAATGTTCCTTCTATATTCAATGTGCTTAAGGTTTTCATCATGAAATGATTTTGTATTTTTACCAAATTTTCTCTCTGCATCTATTGAGATAACCATATTGTTTTTGTTCTTTAATTCGTTAATGTGATCTGCATATTTTAATTGGATAATTTAGACCATTGATATTCAAAGTTATTATTGATAAGTAATAACTTGTCCCTACCATTTTTCTTTTGATTTCCTTTGTAATTTTACTGGGGTATTTTCTGCCTTCACATTTTTTCATAATAATGACTGTTTTTCTATACATATCTGTGTGTAGCACATACTTAATAATTTTTTTTTTTTGACAGGCGGAGTGGACAGTGAGAGAGAGAGAGACAGAGAGAAAGGTCTTCCTTTTGCCGTTGGTTCACCCTCCAATGGCTGCCGCAGCCAGCGCGCTGCGGCCAGTGCACCATGCTGATCCTAAGGCAGGAACCAGGTGCTTCTCCTGGTCTCCCATGGGGTGCAGGGCCCAAGCACTTGGGCCATCCTCCACTGCCTTCCAGGGCCATAGCAGAGAGCTGGCCTGGAAGGGGGGCAACCGGGACAGAATCTGGAGCCCCGACCGGGACTAGAACCCAGTGTGCCGGTGCCGCAAGGCAGAGGATTAGCCTAGTGAGCCGTGGTGCCGGCCCCTTAATCATTATTTGTAAGGCTGATGAATTGTGACAAATTCTTTCAATTTCGGCTTATTTGGGAAGGTCTTTATTTCATCTTCATTTATAAATCAGAACTTTCCTGGGTACAGTTTTTTTTTTTTTTTTTGATTTTTGCAGCAGTGTTGCAAGCAACAACGGCAGCTCCAAGTAGGATTTCTGATGAGAAATCAGTTGTCAGTCTAATTAGAGACCCTCTGACTGTAATGTTTTTCTTTCATGAATGTTTTATAATACTTTCTTTATGTTTTACTTTTAAAAGTTTGACTATAACATTTTTTCTGATCATGCCTCTTAGGAGTTCTATTTGCTTAAAATTTTCTGGTATTATTTCACTGAGTAGGTCTTCTAAATCATTCTCTTTCCACACTTTTAGGAATTCACAGGAATCTCTTATTTACTTGTTCCATAATATCCCATACTTCTCAAATGCTATTTTTCGTTTTTATAATTTGTTTATTTTATTTATGTCTGAAATGTTTACAGCAATATAATTTCTAGTTTGTGTATTCTTTCTTCTGCTTTACCAATTCTGTTTTTAAGGCTTTGCACTATATTTTTATCTGACACATTGAATTCTGAATTTCTAATATTTCAGTTTGATTTCTCTTCAGTATCTCTATGTCCTAGCCAAATTTCCCGTGCATGTCATATATGGATTTCTTTAACTTATATAGCTTCTTCTCTGTGTTTCTGAGTAGTCTTACAGTCACTCTTTTGAATTCCTTTTTGGGAATTTTATCATTCTCTCTGTATTCACCTTCTAATATTGAAGAGTTACTGCTTTCATACTGGGGAGCCATATTGTCTTCCTTCTTCACATCTCTTGTATTTCTGCATTTATTTTAGGCATCTTTGGAAACATTGGTTTTCTCCACTGAGGGCTTTTATCTTTGAAATATGCTTCTATGGCTTAGTGAGTATCTGCTCCTCCAGCATATATACAGAGATATGTGTGAGATCAGGGAGCTTCAGCCAGTGCTTGAGGGTGGGGCAAGAGTTCAAAGTGACATCCAAGTAGGGTAGATCTCAGTCACCGGCAGGTGGGAGGGTATGATCATGTTGACTAGGATGGTGCAACCCCAGTCTCATCGCCTCTCTGCCAGGGTGAATCCATTGCACAGGTGAGCTCACAGTGGTTATGCACTCCACCCCCACAGGCACATGAACTTAAAAATGATCTGTGTGCTCCTCAGTGTGAATGCAGAACCCACTGTGATGACCCATTCCTGAATCTCATGGAATGCTGAGCCTCTGAAGCCAGTCACAGTGACTGCCCAAAGACCCAGCTATATCCCATGCCCTATTGTACTGTCACAGAATTCCCATCTTCATAGCGTTCATGGTTCCCACAGTCACAGGAAGCAGGAGCAGGGGATCCACTCTCAGCTTTGTGAACCACCCCCCCCCCCACACACACCCATAGAAGGAGGCATGGTTTTCTCAGAGCAAGGTGCCTTCTTAATAGAAATAGGTTGGTGCTCCGCCTTGGCAAGTTGAGTCCTGTTACAATGATAGAAAGGGTGAGAACACTTCACAGGTCTATGTGGATACCTATTCACCTGCAACCGGCCCTCCATGCCAGACTCAAACTCAGTGGAGACTGCAGATCTATTCCTCTGATACAATGTCCCGGTCACACACAGGTCACAACAGTCTCTACTTGTCTTATTAAGGTAGCACTTCCACCGTGTTGGTCATCAAGTGCACTTGTTGGGGGAGGGGAAGAGAGCAATATGCTCCCCCTTCTCAGGGTTAGGTGAGCACCCTGACTCCTGCTAGCACTTTATGCCATACCTGAAGTCAGTACGGACCACATGGCATCCCTCAGGCAGTATCATGTGTCATGGGCTGCAGCAGGCTTCCCTAATATCACTCCAAGATGTCATCCATTCCAGTCACTGGCTTCAGGAGTCACCAGCAATGTCCCACTTGCTGCTGTGTGATTGGGCCATAACAGCTACTTCAAGGTGTCTCTCTTCTTTCTGCAGAATTTCCTTTGCAAACTTTTCTCCAACTGTCTCTCCCCTTTTTTCTGTTTACCTTCCTGTGGTAAAAATCAGTACATCTTTTCTCTGTTCAACCATATTGAATCTCCCTGTAACTCTGACTTTCAAATAAAATAAAGTAAATCTTAAAAAATATTGAAATCAGGGCCTGTGCTGAGGCTCACTAGGCTAATCCTCCACCTGCGGCGCCGGCACACCGGGTTCTAGTCCCAGTCGGCGCACCGGATTCTGTCCCGGTTGCCCCTCTTCCACTCCAGCTCTCTGCTGTGGCCTGGGAAGGCAGTGGAGGATGTCCCAAGTGCTTGGGCCCTGCACCCCATGGGAGACCAGGATGAGCACCTGGCTCTTGCCTTCGGATCAGTGTGGTGCACTGGCCACAGTGTGCCGGCCGCGGCAGCCATTGGAGGGTGAACCAACGGCAAAGGAAAACATTTCTCTCTGTCTCTCTCTCTCACTGTCCACTCTGCCTGTCAAAAAAAAAAAAATATTGACATCAGCAATCAGTATTGAAATTAGCAAATATTCATTGATAACTTAATATAGTGTTATAAGTTAGACTTTACTGAAGAAACTAAACCTAATATATGTTATCTCTGCTATGAGATAATGTCAAATATAACTCCATATGATCAAAGAATGCAACAGTAGTATGACAATACTTCCCCAAAAGGACTTAAGACAAGCAGAACTCCAGTAATGGGATTCTCTTAAGCATCTCATTTTTCCCCTGCATTGTAGCTTCTTTTGGCAAAATAAATGTCAACTCTGATCACATTTGTTCTTGCTGCTCTTTGACTTGTAGCATTGACATAATCAATATTATATCAATATCAATTCAAGTGACTAAACTACAATACTAACCTCACAGTAAATAGCACTACAAACCACATTTATCACAGCTCTCAAATTCTATAATGCACTGTCTTACAATTATTGTTAAGATCCTCCTCATCGTCAAGGGAAAGGGAGTAAAAATTTTGCATGCATGGATCAGATGATAGATCTTGGAGAAGATAAATCAATGATCAATTAGCACTGGTTTGATCCCACTAGTAACTGGATTTCATGGCTCACTAGGCTAATCCTCTGCCTGTGGTGCTGGCATCCCATATGGAGGTGGGGTTCTAGGCCCGGCTGCTCCTCTTCCAGTCCAGCTCTCTGCTGTGGCCCAGGAGGGCAGTGGAGGATGGCCCAAGTGCTTGGGTGCCTGCACGCGCATGGGAGACCACCTGGCTCCTGGCTTTGGATAGGTGCAGTGTGCCAACCGTGGTGGCCATTTTGGGGGTGAACCAACGGAATGAAGACTTTTCTCTCTGTCTCTCTCTCTCAGTAACTCTACCTGTCAAATAAGTAAAAAGAAAAAAAAGATAATCAAACTTCTTATTTACAGAAGCATGGATTTTTTCTTTTTGTTCCTTTGGAGGAAGCGGAAATTTTCTGTTTAAATTAAATACAAAGTATTTTAGATCACATTTATAATTGTGCTAAATCCTTCAAGTCTGATAAGCAACTCAGCAATAAATGTGCATACTATTTAGTCAGTGTTCCTAGAAACTTTATCATTGCTTTTTCTACTAAAGCATTTGAATGTTAATATCCAGAAAAAAGATAACACTTATAATGGAATATGTCAATATCAAGATACAATGTTAATTTTAAATAGGCTATTATAACCAGTTTGATTGTGATATTTTATAGCTATCATTGAAGTAGATGAAAGATAGTAATAGATTAAATATTTCATGCTAATATTCCTCATGCTGAGATTTGTTTCCTTGTCACAGCTGAATTGAAACTACTTATCATGCAGCTACTGAAGGGATATCTGGATCCACATAATATCTAATATTGAATGACAAGAAATAAAGCACCATGATTATTTTCTTATCAGGGCTTTAAGTAACAAACACACAATAACATGAAAATGCCTAAATAATTGACACAATTTTCCAATTTGTACTCAGATATTAGTTTTTCTTATAAATATAATAAAATATTGAAATCAGAAGCTATGACATGGAAAGTAGAAAAAAAGAAATTATAAAAAAGTTCTAACATAATCACTTAATTGGATTCACTACTAATAATTCTTTTTTTTAACTTGGCATTTCTTTTATATCATCAATTTTCAACAATGTCTTAATCCAAAAGAGCAAAAATTAAATAATCATAAAGCAAGCAACATGCTCAATTATCACATTCCCTATATATGAGAAGAGGCATTCAGCATTCAAGTCGTAAGTTTATTTATAAACATATCTAGTATGCTGTGAGTTCAAGAGTTTGATCCATTTTCCAGAGACTGCACCTCTTGAAATGCTGTTATCTGTTAAATGGATGACCTAAAACATCCTTATTTCTTAAGCAGTTGGTGCCGTACTATGAAGAAAGGGGCAGCAAAGCCAGATCCCAGATACAAGGTCATCATAGCTAGCAACCTCCAGTTGTTTTCCACTGAAAGTGGCAAATTCTTCCCTGGGCCCTCCTCATAGTGGCTCCTATGGACCACAGAGGCTGTGAACCTCTGGATGCTCTGTCCCAACATGGCGCGGCTGGGGGCTCTGTGCAAGGCACAGAGACCGAAGAAGGAGAAATGGTGGAACGACATGAAACCTCGCTCCTTGCACAACCTTGATCCACTGTGGATTCACTACTAATAATTCTAAAGTAAAAATTTTTACATTACTTAATCTAATAAGGTAGGCATGCATTTTTTGCAAATGGAGGAAACTACAAACATATATCATGGTCAATTTTGAGTTAGTATTATTTAAAATTCTAATCTCTAATATTGCAGAAATATTACTGGTAAACTTTTATGTTTGAATGGTAAGTACAATAACCAAATTTCCATACAAGAAAAAATTATACTTGTATAAAAATTATCTTTTGGTCTCCAAATAAAAATTTTCATGAAACCTGCTCTTAAAATGCAATACTTTTTTTTTTTTTTTTTTTTGATAGGCAGAGTGGACAGTGAGAGAGAGAGACAGAGAGAAATGTTTTCCTTTGCCTTTGGTTCACCCTCCAATGGCCGCTGCGGCCTGCGCACCGCGCTAATCCGATGGCAGGAGCCAGGTGCTTCTCCTGGTCTCCCATGGGGTGCAGGGCCCAAGCACTTGGGACATCCTCCACTGCCTTCCCAGGCCACAGCAGAGAGCTGGCCTGGAAGAGGGGCAACCAGGACAGAATCCGGCGCCCCGACCGGGACTAGAACCCGGTGTGCTGGCGCCGCAAGGCGGAGGATTAGCCTAGTGAGCCGGGGCGCCGGCCAGAATGCAATACTTAATACAATAAATTTTTACTTCTTTTGGTATTTTGAGAACATTTTCCATTGGCATTATGCAATTCCCCTCCAGAATCATTCCTTAGATTTGTCCATCTTCCTCTGTGCCTGAAGAGGCTGCACCTCACAGACTGAGTCCTCTTGCCTTTGGATGTCACACTGGCTTTGAGCCTACTGCAGCAGCCATTAGAACATCAGAAGGCAGGGAGACAGTCAGTATGAATGACATACATTTTCCTGGCTCCTCAATTTTCTGTCTGCAAATAATTCTGGCTGTTTCTCAAACCATGGCCCAGGTCTTGCCAAGTGGTGCTCTTATTTCTGGAAACTCCTTCATCGTTTTAACTCTTGGAAACAAGAGCCGCTGATAGTTTTCACCCCATTGCAGCTAATCTGGAGACTTTGTCATCCCTTGGCTGTTTTCCTTCAATGTGCCCAAGCCACTGTAAATAAAATTTTATTCAATCCTCTTTAATTGCTCTATTCAAATACACAAAATATTTTTTGTTGAGACTTAGTCTGATATATTTGTCTTAAAATATTATATAGTATTTTCATGTTGGGGGGCATTTTAACCCAAATATCCAAAATTATGAGAAAAGTTATATTTGGGGTTTTATTATATTGACTTACTAAGTACAGGAACATTTTATACTATCTTCAATAAGTACTAATTACATATTTACCTACCAAAAGAATATAATTTATCTATTTTTTTAAAGAATAGGGTCATTATAATTTTAAAAAATTAAATATTTACAATGCACAAAAATCAACGCCCTTTGTATACACAGGCAATATCACTGCTGAAGAAGAACTTCTAAGATCAATCCCATTCACAATAGCCATAAAAGCAATCAAATACCTTGGAATAAACATAACCAAGGACGTTAAGGATCTCTACGATAAAAATTACAAAACCTTAAAGAAAGAAATAGAAGAGGATACCAAGAAAATGAAAAATCTTCCATGCTCATGGATTGGAAGAATCAATATCATCAAAATGTCCATTCTCCCAAAAGCAATTTATAGATTCAATGCAATACCAATCAAAACACCAAAGGCATTCTTCTCAGATCTAGAAAAAATGATGCTGAAATTCATATGGAGACACAGGAGCCCTTGAATAGGTAAAGCAATCTTGTACAACAAAAACAAAGCCAGAGGCATCACAATGCCAGATTTCAGGACATACTACAGGGCAGTTGTTATCAAAACAGCATGGTACTGGTACAGAAACAGATGGATAGACCAATGGAACAGAATTGAAACACCAGAAATCAATCCAAACATCTACAGCCAACTTATATTTGATCAAGTATCCAAAACCAATCCCTGGAGTAAGGACAGTCTATTCAATAAATGGTGCTGGGAAAATTGGGAAAATTCATGCAGAAGCATGAAGCAAGACCCCTACCTTTCACCTTACACAAAAATCCACTCAACATGGATTAAAGACCTATATCTACGACCCGACACCATCAAATTATTAGAGAGCATTGGAGAAACCCTGCAAGATATAGGTACCAGCAAAGACTTCTTGGAAAACACCCCAGAAGCACAGGCAGTCAAAACCAATATTAATATTTGGGATTGCATCAAATTGAGAAAAGTAAAGAGGCAACTGACAGAATGGGAAAAAATATTTGCAAACTATGCAACAGATAAAGGGTTGATAACCAGAATCTACAAAAAAAATCAAGAAACTCCACAACATCAAATCAAACAACCCACTTAAGAGATAGGCCAAGGACCTCAGTAGACATTTTTCAAAAGAGGAAATCCAAATGGCCAACAGGCACATGAAAAAATGTTCAAGATCACTAGCAATCAGGGAAATACAAATCAAAACCGCAATGAGGTTTCACCTCACCCTGGTTGAATGGCTCACATTCAGAAATCTACCAACAACAGATGCTGGTGAGGATCTGGGGGAAAAGGGACATTAACCCACTGTTGGTGGGAATGCAATCTTTTTAAGCCACAATGGAAGTCAGTCTGGAGATTCCTCAGAAACCTGAATAGAACCCTACCATAAAACCCAGCCATACCACTCCTTGGAATTTACCCGAAGGAAATGAAATTGGCAAACAAAAAAGCTGTCTGCACCCTAATGTTTATTGCAGCTCAATTCACAATAGCTAAGACCTGGAATCAACCCAAATGCCCATCAACAGTAGACTGGATCAAGAAATTATGGGACATGTACTCTATAGAATACTATACAGCAGTAAAAAAAAAATGAAATCCAGTCATTTGCAGCAAAATGGAGGAATCTGGAACATATCATGCTGAGTGAATTAAGCCAGTCCCAAAGGGACAAATATCATATGTTCTCCCTGATCGGTGACAACTAACCAACCACAAAAAAGGAAACCTGTTGAAGTGAAATGGACACTATGAGAAACAGTGACTTGATCGGCCCTTTTTCTTACTGTTGATGTACAACTTAATATTTTATCCCATTTAGTACTTTTTTGTTCTAGTTAATACTATTGGTTGAACTCTGTAATTAACACACAATTATTATTTGGTATTTAAATTTAACTGAAAAGTGATCCCTGTTAAATATAAGAGTGGGAATAAGAGAGGGAGGAGATGTGCAATTTGGGACATGCTCAAGCTGACTTGCCCCAAATAGTGGAGTTAGAAATGTGCCAGGGGTTTCCAATTCAATCCCATCAAGGTGGAATGTACAAATGCCATCTCACTAGTCCAAGTGATCAATTTCAGTTCACAATTGATCACACTGATAGGTCTAAGAGTCAAAGGGATCACACAAACAAGACTAGTGTCTGCTAATACTAACTGTTAGAATTAAAAAAGAGAGAATGATCCAACATGGGAAGCGAGATACACAGCAGACTCATGGAATGGCGGATGTCCTAAACAGCACTCTGGCCTCACAATCAGCCCTTAAGGCAGGCGGATCTAGCTGAAGAGCCCATGAGAGTATTTTAGGCATGGAAAGCCAAGACACCCTGGGGAAAAAAAAAGGGAAGACCTAAATGAAAGATCTCTGCTAGTGAGATCCCAGTAGAAAGAACGGGCCATCAAAGAAGGAGGTACCTTTCTCTGAAGGGAGGAGTGAACTTCCACTTTGACTATGACCTTGTCTAAATAATATCAAAGTCGGTGAATTCAAAGTGCTTCCATAGCCTTGGCAACTCATGACAAGAGCCTAGGGTGATTACTGATGCCATAAACAAGAGTGTCAATTTGTTAAGTCAACAACAGGAGTCACTGTGCACTTACTCCTCATGTAGGATCTCTGTCCTTAATGTGTTGTTCAATGTGCATTAATGCTATAACTAGTACTCAAACAGTATTTTTCACTTTGTGTTTCTGTGTGGGAGCAAACTGTTGAAATCTTTACTTAATATATACTAAATCGATCTTCTGTATATAAAGATAATTGAAAATGAATCTTGATGTGAATGGAATAGAAGAGGGAGCGGGAGATTGGAGGGTTGTGGGTGGGAGGGAAGTTATGGCGGGGGGAAGCCATTGCAATCCATAAACTGTACTTTGGAAATTTATATTTACTAAATAAAAGTTTAAAAAATTAAATATTTATTCATCCATTTGAAAGGCAGATTTAGAGAGAGATGGAGAGACAGGGAGAAAGAGAGAGATCTTCTTTTCACTGGTTCACTCCCAAATTGTCCTCAATTGCTGGAGCTGGCCAGGAGCCAGGAGCTTCTTCTGGGTCTCCCAGATGAGTGCAGGAGCCCAGGAACTTGGGGCATCTTCTACTGCTTTCCTAGGCACATTAGCAGGGAGCTGGGTTGAAAGTGGAGCAGCAGGGACTCAAACCAAGGCCCTCATGGTGTGCCCGTACTTCAGGTGATGGTTTAACCCACTGTGCCATAGCACCAGCCCCTAATTAAAATATCTTAGCACTCATGTTTTTAACTTCAGATGCAGATCTGGATGCCATGCATCAAATATTTTAGATAGAAGAATAGAATCTTTGAAAAAGTATGCCTTACTAAGGCTTATTATTTATACATCTACTAACATCCTAGGAAGAAATGCATTGCTCAGTAGTGATAGTATTGATCTTAAAATTTGCATCTTATAAGCCGGCGCCGCGGCTCACTAGGCTAATCCTCCGCCTAGCGGCGCCGGCACACGGGGTTCTAGTCCCGGTCGGGGCTCCGGATTCTGTCCCGGTTGCCCCTCTTCCAAGCCAGCCCTCTGCTGTGGCCAGGGAGTGCAGTGGAGGATGGCCCAAGTGCTTGGGCCCTGCACCCCATGGGAGACCAGAAAAAGCACCTGGCTCCTGGCTCCTGCCATCGGATCAGTGCGGTGCGCCGGCCGCAGCGCGCCGGCCACGGCAGCCATTGGAGGGTGAACCAACGGCAAAAGGAAGACCTTTCTCTCTGTCTCTCTCTCTCACTGTCCACTCTGCCTGTCAAAAAAAAAAAAAAA